TTATTTTATGTAGGTACCTACGTAATGTTGGTAACCGGTTAAGTATTTTAATTAATTACAAACATTCTGGAAATATTTAAAGCTGAAACTAACAGACAAACACGGTTTTTCCATGAAGAGGACTTGAAGATCTATGGTGTTTTAGTCAATAACTATATATAACTACCTAGGTAGGTCTCCGACTGTATTTTCACGTGCGGGTTTTAATGTTTTTTTTAGAATGTGTGTCATATTATAAATATCGGGATGAAAAAAAACCCAGGTTATGTTATTCTTCAGTAAAAAGTTCCGTAATTCCGACTGATTATTTTTCAGGGTAGTTTTGAAGTCTTTTCATGATGCAAACAGATAATTAGGTAGTAAGTAAGTATTAGAATTGTATAGATAAGATAAGATTTAGACCCTAAATCTTAAATCTGGCCTGAAACAACTCCTCATACTCATTACTCTTCATTATTATACCAACGAGGCTGAAAGCTGAAGTGTTTTGGATCGTAAAACTTAATCTTGAGAAAAAGCAATAAACTGCGTTTATGCAAAAAAGAATTGAAGTGGATGAAAGTGATTTAGAATTATGGAGCAACTTAAATATGGATGGCGGCTAAAGTAAAAATGTATGTTAAGTACTTTCTAAATGGGTCTTATGATACATTAGTTATTTAGTACAATGTATTATTACACCTACTTAACTTACTACCTAATAATTGACAATTAGCATGAGTCGAAACCGAAAATAGACGGACGTAAGGTCGCAGGGAGCTGCTGGGTGCAGGTCGCCTAATGTTACAACCGACCTATGTTCAGCAGTGGACGTCTTATGGCTGATGATTATGATGATGAGTCGAAAGGAACGAATGATGGAAATGATACGACCTTAGCTGTTAGTCAAAATGCGAAAATTGGACAATTTGCAGAGAATTTCGATCATTTCTATACCATAGGCGATACCGGCGAATTAATTTGATTTCTACTGGATAGTCTGATGTCTGCAAATCATTAATTTCTTCACAACATAAACATTACATCACGCCTTTAATCCCTGAAGGGTAGACAGAGGTGCACATTATTCCACTGTACAATGTAACACCCACTTTTCACTATTTATGTTATGAGTCCCATGTAATAGTGGGTGAGCCTATTGCCATATACCGGGCACAATTCCAGACTCCGTGCTTCTACTGAGATTTTTTTTTAAAAACCCAGTAATACTTTGCCCGACACGGGAATCGAACCCGAGACCCCTTGCCCTAATTTCTTCAGTATTGAAGTAATCTATAGTCAAACACGAGACAAGCGTAATAGGTGTTATACTTTTATAGACTACAGTTTTCCGTTAGTCCTGCAGCATTGGTAATTGCGCATGATCGCTCAACGTTTGTTGAATGACAGTAGGGGGAATCAGGATGAAGAGAGCTCGACATGATCAAATCATGATACGAGATCTAGACCTGTGGCGATAATGGTGGAGGAAAATCTAGACATGACTCATGCCACAAGGATAGTCTTCCTGTTTATAACGCTATTGGTGTTTGGCATCGCCATAAAAATAAGGAAGAACTAAGAAGTTTGCTACATTCAATATGCTTTAAGGTCGCTAGAAAAGATTGGGGGTTGAGAACTGTTTGGAGAATAGCTTCACTGACGGACAGACTGACAGACTATTGTTTATTTCATATTTGTTGACGTTTCAAAAGTACCAAATTATGGTTTAATTGAAATAAATGCTTTTGAGTTTGAGTTTGAGAATGGCGTTGGAAAAAAGACCTGGAAAATTACTTCAAAATCGCATACTCGATACTTGGCAATTGCGTTTGCAAACGTTGTCTCGAGGTACAAAGTACGACGCGACGCAACGGAGCAATTAACTAGTTATTATGCGAGGCCAAATACTAGCAGTCAAGCGAAATATTCCTTTCGTTGATAACAACTTTTTTTTCCAAAGCAGCTGCAGGTGGTGACTGGTGAGTAGAGTTTGTCACCACCCAGATCCATACACAAATAGTGGACAGTCAGGTGCTGTTGATTGTGTTTTCTGGCTGTAATAACTATAGGACAATAACAAGTTATGTGTGTATCAAACTTAAACTTAATTGAAATCCCGGGTTACTCACTTGAATATACTGAGAAAAGCTCAACTAGTTTCTAATCACAGAGGGGTTCTTCCTCATGAGCAGCGTCACGGCGTCGTCGCGCAGCTCATTTAGAAACTAGTAGATCTTTTCTTAGTATATTCACGTGAGTAATCGGCGATTTTAGTTAATTTAGTATGTCTCACGATAGTTATTATAAAAACTTAAACTTATTTGTTTTTAGAAGTACCTACTTAAAAAATCACAACTAGTATGCGAAAAAAATTGTTTACGTATTGGCGAATTAATTTACGGAGTTACGAAAACGCCCGTAATAAAATATGTAATTGGACGCAATAAGTATGACGCCTAAGTTTATGTCGCAAGTTTCTGACGAGGGAGCGTAATGAATTAAAATGTTAACAGGAAAAAAAGTAAAAAGTTAATTTGTGCAATACAAGTAACTATATTAAAGCACATAATTTTAAATATTTTATCACTTCGAGTTCCATGAAGTAGTTAAAAAAACATTTTGATATCGAGACAAAGAAAATTAAATACGTAGATAGATACTTAATTATCATTTTCATTTTAATAAAAATACATTAATCTAGTTATCTCACAAAAGTTACTGAGAAAAAAAAATTGAACTGAAATATTATCAGTTCATGTTTATAAAAAAAAAACAAAGAGCTTTAAACTTAAATACTAAGAACTAAGAAGCCTAGATTTGATTCTGCGTAAGCATGAGGAAATTGAATGGAACTTTTGTGCAATATTTGTTCAAACAGTTTGTAGAATAATTATTTTGACATCCGTCATAGTGCAAATAATGAAACCGGTCATGAATTAGAAGAAAAAATGGATGGGAGCCTAATTGATTTTAGGTATTTGCACATAACAGTGTGAAGTGAGAAGTTTTTCTAATTAGATAATTCGGTTTACTGTGTCAATGACCTTATTAGATTATAACTATCTTGGTTAGTCCTAGTAAATGTGGTGGTAGGCAATAAAATTAGGTCAATTTTTAACTGAATGAGACAGTTCTTCTTCTAGATGTTTTAAATTACCAATTTTTAATAATAAGGTATTAGTGTAGTTGCCAACCCGCATTGAGCAAACATGGTGATTATTGCTCAAACCTTCTCCGTGTGAGAAGAGGCTTTGCTCAGCGGTGGGCTTTTATAGGCTGTTGACGATGATGATGATGATGATAACTTAAGGATACAGTTAATATGTTGAATCTAGTTATTACTTCATTGACTTATTATGCTTACTGCAGACAATATTATTAAAGTGTCAGTAGCATAGATACTATAGACAGGATTTATAACTCTACTTCTTATATTGGTTAAATAGAAATGGTATGGTAACTATACTATGACCAACTATGAAGTGGACCTATAATTTCTCTGTTTAGGTCTTCTTCAAGACCTAACTTATGAGTCAAATGTTTACTACATATTGACACTCCATTAACAAAAGGTTACATCATTTTGTGTAATGGTTCAGGAAGAAAATATATAAAGCTAGTTTAAACTGTCAAACACCAAGCGGTCACCGGTGACCGCGACCTATTGTTCTTTAATTGTGTCTATAAAACCGGTACTCGATGAGTTAAGAGGTCATGTGTACAAATACATCCCTATGTACACCATATTGAACGGGTTCTTTTTAAGCTCTGGAGATGGTCTATACAGATGACCTGTGGACCTCATATAGGTCATGTTCATGGCCATCTAGCATATTCAAGGAAAAAGGACTCCCATACACTCTAATCACCTTGTTTTTCTCCCCAAAATCTAGGTCCTATATAAGGAGGATAAAAAGAGGAATTTCTTCAATTCTATTATTTCTGAGGTTGTTCTTGTATTGGTGGAATGGGTCTGGACATTGACTTGTTCAACTTGTAGTGGGAAAATTGTATACGTACTAATGTGAACAGTGTTCCACACACAAAACTGCAATACATAACTTATGATCAGTGTTACCAACTCATAAATAAGTTTAATTATGACAGGTGCATAAATTCTGTTTTAATATTTTTATTTCATGTCATAAATAATGTTAACCTTTTATTTATTCAATTCTATCTGGACATCTCATTCATCATAATGTTATTGATAAGATGATAATAAATCTACACAGACTTTCCCCTGACAACAATGTGAAAACAAAATTTTATCACAGATAGTTTGTAATCTCAGCAAACAAAATGATGATGCAATGTGATTTCTATTGAAAATTGTCAAAAAAGGTTTTAGTAAAGAGAACCAATACTTATTTAGTTTAACCAGTTTCATCTAGCTCATACTGATATTAAGTAACTGTTGCATTGGTCATCAATCAAGGTGTAAATTAATTTTGGCAATATTTTTTAAGTCCATCATGTTGTGTTGCTAGACCTAAATATTTATTACTCATATTTTTTATCATGACATTAAAATGTAACATTATGAGACTAACAAATCATTATCATTTTCGTTACTGCCTCCCCTGGAAGTGATAAAAATAATGACAATGGGGAATTAGTTCACAATAAATGTTATCAACATGATTTTGTTTACAACAAAGTCAACTTTTATCACTTCACCTTCAAATAAAAAGAGGAAATGTTGAATAAAACACAAACAAGAATTTTACGAATCTTCTTAGATAGGTGGTAAGGAGTCCCGTTACGTTACCGGAGTCGACATGTCTATTACCATAAGTAGTTAAGGACCAATAAATTGTCTCCGAGAGCTAGCTGAACATAATATAATCTGATAAATAGTTAAATCATGAAGAGAAAGTTCAATGCTTTTGGTGACACTTGGCAATCCAGCACCAGGAAAATATAGAAATCATGCATTCATGGACATAGGAACATTCCATTGATCTCTATTCATAGGTTATGTTATACTAATCACCAAATTAATTACAACAACATACCTCCTTTTCTGATTAGCTGGCTTTGTAGACATTTCGGTTTTTATCGTGGACACTATTATGAAACTTCGCGATACGAACACAATCTTAGAACACTGCCAAGGAGAGTATCATATCGCTTTTCACGTTATGCTTTTTGTTTTGTTTTATCATTCACCACTAATAAGTTTCACTAATCACAATTTAGGTCATTTTACAATGCACAACACATAAAAATGCACTTTGTTATCGTGAACTTGCACAGTAGAAACACGAGATCGAAAACGAAGTTTGTTCAGAAGTTATTCTGTCGACAATTTGATATGTTTGTACCAAACCCAAAATTATTATCTCTATCATTGGTTGAAATGTCTCACTGCCACAATAACTACCAATAGCGTTGCGATCGGGGTGACATTTGAACAAAATTACGTGTCACAAATAGCTACAAGGCAGCATCGATAGATGGCAGTAGTAGAGCATAATTTTTTTAGCTAAAATTACAAAAGATGTCGTTACTTATAAATACAAAAGTTTTACAAAAAAGTTAATTAATTTTGTATCCAATTATCATTTTTTGAAAGGGAACACACTCCCCTACCAAAACAAATATATCTTACATCTGTTCTGTTTCCTACATTTTAGTAATCTTTTATTACGTCTCATCTTTGTATTCAATTACAAACAGTTTTTGGTCATCGCACAAGATGGCAGCACTGCTATGATTTAAAAATTGAACACAAGTGTTCGAAATTCGTATTTTTTAAACATATTGTATAGGTACTTATGCACTTTTATTTTTTCACATAAAAAAGGCGGTGAGTGAGCATAGTGCCTTACCGGACACCATGCCAGACTTCGTACAGTACAATATTAAGTTATTGTGTGCATTTATTATTACTTACTGAGAAGTTAATTAAATCCAAATAACTCTTTATAACTTTACCAGTCCCGGGAATCGAATTCAAAACTCGAGATCCTTTGCTCGGCAGTCGCTCTTCCGGCCAGACGATGATACAACCAATGATGCACCTATTTTTTACCGGCCTTTACATTATCTAGGTAGGTAGGTACCTACTGACTGAATTTCCGAATAAATATTTATTTATTTCAATACTTAAGAAAGTACATAATATCTATCACATAAACACTTAAAATAAATAAGATATATATATATATATATAAACTACTTACGTTAAAAAACCAACCTCAACCCTCTCTCTTTTCGAAATCGGTTAATAATATGTACTAAAACCTTCTCCTAAGTGTAACAAACACGTTTCTGAAAACCATATCGAAATCGGTTCAACCAATCGCGAGAAAATTGCACACAATCATACTTACACACACAGGTCAAGGACCTCTTCTCTTTTTAGAAGTCGTTTAAAAACAAAAGAATACGGTGTTCAATAAAGATAACTACCAATATCTATCTATACCAATACATCAATACATGCTCATTCCAGGGTGCGTTTACTGTCTGATTAAGATCTCTATGGTTCATTTGTCCGAGTGGCGTTATAATGTAATATAATAATAATAATATAATAAATCCCTTTATTCTAAATTTTTTACATTACGAGTTGTTACAAAAAAGTTACAGTATATCTCTTAATTCAGTGTGCTTTTTGGCAAAGGCCTCCTCTAGCTGTCTCCATTGAATTCTGTCGCGGGCTACTCTTCTCCAGTTGGGTCCCGCTGTTAGCCTTAGTTCGTCCTCCCATCTTTTTAACTGCTTTCCTCTGCTGCGTTTACTGTCTCTTGGATACCAATCAGTTACTATCTTGCACCATTTTTCCTTGTTTTCTCTCATCATATGACCGGTCCAATGCCATTTTTGTTGGTCAATTCTTTTTAACAAAAGAATACGGTGTTCAATAAAGATAACTAGCAATATCTGTCTATACCAATACATGCTCGTATACATTCCAGGGTGCGTTTACTGTCTGATTAAGATCTCTATGGTTCATTTGTCCGAGTGGCGTTGGAGGACCATTGATCAACTGTCTTGTGTCCGAGCCAGCCAGTGACAAATAGGTGCAGCTAATGAAAATATTGCTGTTATTAATTCTGTGGTGCATCGTGGTCATCTGTGGTGGTCGGGCAAAGTATTACTGCGTTTTTCAGAGTCTGGAAATATGCTCGGTATATGGCAATAGGCTCACCCCCCAATTACATGGGACTCACAACATAAAACATAAAAAGTGGGTGTTACAATGTACAGTGGCATTAAGTGCCGTAATGTGTACCTCTGCCTACCCCTTCGGGGATAAAAGCTGTGATGTTATGTTTATATGGAAGCTTATAGTCCAACAGTTCACTGCCAAGCTACAATCTGCTAATGAGTACCTACCTATGACTATGATGAGTAAAGCTAGGTGACGAGCACCTAGCTTTACTCATCACAGTCATAGTCCAGAATATAGTACTTAGCCAGGTATCTATTTGTCAAAGACAGTACCTAGTTCTAAGTACATACTATCAGAAGTAATTTACGTCATTCAGTTATGAAAACAATAGTACCTACCTAATCTAAATAAGGTAATTATCGTACTGGTTTTGATAAACAAAATTACAGCTACTTTGTTCTACGTGACTAGTGATGACGTGTAAAATGCATTATTTTTTTCTTATTGGCAACCTGCCGACTAGTAAAATTCAATACTTTTTTGAAACTGTCAAAAAATCACAGTTTTCTATGAATTTTGTACGAGATTGTGTATTGTGACGTCACGTTTTTTTAGCGTCAAACAGCATACTTATTTCTTAAATATTTGCTGGAAAAATATTATAATTAACTTAGTCATAAAATCAATTAATGAAAGTTTGATTATTTTTTAATATTTTATTGTATTGAACAGTTGAAATAATTTATTTTTGATTAAGGATAGTACCTAATAATATAATGTACATGGGTGTCGTACGTAGGAGTTGACTGATAAATGTTTTCTATTTAAACAGAAATCTTCAAACTATTTACCAAGTGTGGAGATTACGGGAAACTATTATAGGTATATAGGAGGGTTCCTAAGGAGGAGGTTATAAGTATATAAACCATAATCCACGCAGGATAATAGGGTCATAATCCACGCAGCAGACTGTCTCGGGCTGTTGATGTTGTTAGTACTTAACGAGTTATTTTTATCGGGTTAAGAACCTACTTCGTAAGTTAAAGTAGGTCATACCAACTGTTTTATCGGCAACCTAAGTAAACAAAAACTGCGTTTCCAATTAATATTTAAATGAAATGACGAATACAAACGATATTTAACAGGCCGTTAATTAAATTTATCAACAAATTGCACCAATGAGGTTGATAATTTATGATATAATTGCACTGGTACTAGAAACCCGCTGGTTCTAATGAATTCCATTAATTTTATGTTTTATCTGTGAAGTGCCTTGCATAGCCAGCATAGCATCTGTCAGCGAGGCGTGAATGAAAGTCACTTTTTCTTTTATTTAATCTTCCTATTTTGAAAAATAAGTTGAAGCGGCCAGCATTCTATTCAGGTTTATAGAAGCACTTCAATTACTGCAAGTAACGTGGACGTTTTAGTATTAAAATTAAAACTAAATTAATGTTTTACCTTTATGGAATTTACTGACATTGTATAATAATTTATAACTTACGCTTACCTACTAGAGTTTTACCAAATATTACTTATCATATTTCTAACTCAGTAAACTTGGCCTTTGTTCGAAGCACAAAGAGCAATTAAAAATACATATAGTTCCATATTATTTTCGAATAAAAATGCGGAAAACAAAGACATTAACGATGGAATTCCTATTAAATCTACATTTGGCGCCTTTACGAAACACGCGAGCAATCTATCATTCACGCATAACTGATAGATGGCAAGCATGTTACGCGGTTTGCGGCTGACCATACATCATGCAGAAATAATGCAAACTTCCCACTCATTCCTATTTTACATTTCTAACTCTAAACACAACCAAGCATAAACAACTGAGGTTTATTTTGGCGCCATTCGTAGTAAATTATTTAAATGCAGAACGCCTAAAATTAGCAGAGCGGCAAATTAGTGAACGAAATTCGAAATATTTAATGTTCTTTATTTAACATTTTGACGTGTATTTTTTTTATTTTATTTTTTTATTTGATTGATTTGACATTTACAGAGGAGTTACGTAAACTGCAGCTGTAGCCAAATGTCATTTAGCGCTTGTCTACATGTAGAATAGAAAACCAAATTATATGGAATTGACGTAAATTTTGACACTTGCCAGTGTCATCCCCATACATTTAGTTTTCTACTCTCTCTGTAGACAAGCGCTAAAGTGGCGTTTGGCTAAAGGCACTGTTTACGTAGCTCCTCTTTAAATACCCTTTAAAAGTTACATTGATCCAAATGTGCGCATAGTTTTGAGGAAGTTTTCTCACCAGGTATTTTCTTGGCTGTGTAATGAAAAGTGGTTACTGGCTTCTAAATCAAATCTTATTGTTTGTTTTGGTGTTTTTTATCTACGCAATACCTGCCCTTCTGGCCACACGACCATATCTTGTATACATACTACAATATATCTTAATAAAAAAGAGCCCTAATAGTCTAGACATGTCTAGATTACCTAGTCATCAGACGAAAAGATTTTCATCTTGTTCTTACTAACGTTACCGTCTTCCAGGCGCCTACTAATAATTCCAATGCTAGGTAATACTGATGACAGCATACCAATATATCCCAAATCAAAATTCTTTGATACATTTTCAACCTTATATGCAGTCGAGAATAAAGTTAAAGATTCCATGGAAAAATTAGATAGAAAGGAGGAGTTTGATATGCTTGAAATTACAAGTCTAACTGCATTATTCCTGTTAGCAATTCTAGTGCAATTTTGTTATCTTAATTAAAATGGGTTCCTAACATTGTACTTGATTCAGGATGACGTGTGTGGTCCCATAATTCTTCATGAGGTCTGAACACGACTGAAATTCATGTCACATATTTTCGTTACCATTTTCCTTGGGTTAACTCAGAGTTACGATTAGGTGTGTAACGAACTATGTTACAATGGACGATAAATAGGAAAG